TCTATTTGCAACACTGGTTATTTGTACTTTCCGTCTGTCTATCTCTCTGCTTCCTCCTTTCTTTCCTTCTCCCCTTATTTCCTCATTTCTTTCCCTTAAGCGGACTTGCCCAAGATCTGTCTACTTGATTAGCCTTTTCGGAAACCACCTGTGACTATGCACATCTGCTCTGTCGCTTTTTCCGTTTCAGTCGTGGCCGCTCTGCATTACTTCTTCCTGAGCCACCTTTGGGGTTCCCGCTGCTGCTCTTTCTACATTTCCTGAGCGAGAGGGTTAACCCTTCTTTGGCCTCCGCCGTGAACACACGCAGACGAGGCCAAGGGCCCCGCTCTCCAGCTGCAGGTATGATTCACGAGCTTTGATGTAAAGTGTTTTTAATTCGTTTAGTTCAAAATATTTTCTGATATCCATGTGATTTCCTCTCCGGCTCATCAGCTGTTTAGAAGAGCATTTCTTTTTTTTTTCCCTTTCCTTTCTTTTTTTAAATTGAAGTATGGTTAATTTACAGGATTGCTAGAAGAACATTTCTTAATGGCCAGGCCTGCAAGGAGTTTTTTAGAAGATTTGATGTATAATACGCTTGGTTGTCATCAGATAACATACTCCTCCATTTTAATCTTTCTCTTTCTCTTTAATCTTTTTGCTTTGTCGTCTAGTAGTTCATCAATTTTTGTAAATACCCTTGTGGGCTACCTGTATGTGTAACAGTCAAAAACTGGAAACCCTCGAAATGTCCGTCAGCGGGCAGATGGACAAACAGCCTGTGGTACATCTTTGCTTGGATACTACTCAGCAGCAAAAAGGGAGGAACCACCAATTCCAGCCACAATACGGATGCATTGCAAGGTCACTTTTTCTGAGTGGAAGAAGCCAGTAAAAGTGTAGGTTCTGTATGTTTCCACTTACATGAAACTCTGGAAAATGCAAACTTATCATCTGTAGTGACAGCAGCCGTTGTGGGGAGAGGGGTCCAAAGAAACTTTCTGGGTGACAAGCACGTTTATTTACCTTCATCGTGATGGTTTCATGGACATACACATATTTAAAACCTTAACCAAGTGTCCACATTAAATGTGTTCAGTTTGCTGTATGGCAGTTTTGCCTCAGTGGAGCTGTTGGAAAGGATTTCCTTGTGTGCTTGGTGAGAAACGTCCGTCCTAAGGCTGTGGAATGCAGTGCCCTCCCCATACCCACGTTATTCAAATCTCGCGGTCCTTATCGATCAGCACCCCTGCTTGGACTGTTATCTACTGAGGGAGGTGTATAAAGTAATCCCACAGGATTGTGGGTTTGTGTCTCTTGTGGGTCTGTTATTTTTGGTTTGGTTGTTACAAGGCCATGTTATTAGTCACATACAAATTTAAAATTCTTTTATGTTCTTGATGGGTTGATTCTACTATCATTATCAAATAATCTTTGAATCACTAGTAATTCTTATGTCTTCAAGTCTGTTTAGTCTGATACTACTATAACGTTCATTGGATTAGTATTACCCAGGGAATCTTTTTTTTTTTTGCGGTACGCGGGCCTCTCACTGTTGTGGCCTCTCCCGTTGCGGAGCACAGACTCCGGACGCGCAGGCTCAGCGGCCGTGGCTCACGGGCCCAGCCGCTCCGCGGCATGCAGGATCTTCCCGGACCGGGGCACGAACCCGTGTCCCCGGCATCGGCAGGCGGACTCTCAACCACTGCGCCACCAGGGAAGCCCCCAGGGAATCTTTTTCTTTCCTTACCTCCTAACATTTCTTTACCCTTTTGTCTTAAATATTTCTCTCATAAAACAGCGTATGATGGATTTTTTTAAAAGTCCTGTCTGATCAGCTTGTTGTTTTAAGAGGTGCATTTAGTTAACTTTATTGAATGTGATAACTAATATATCGGGGTTAGGTGTACCATCTATTTTGTGCTCTATATTGTCCCCACCTGCTTTTACCTTCCTGACACTTCCTTGGATTATTTTTCAATTCATCATTTTCTTTGTACTAATGTGTAATAAATATATGTATATATACGTACATGTGTATATATGTGTGTATATATTATGTGTGTGTGTGTATATATGTGTGTCGGCAGAGTAGACGCGGGGACTTCCCTGGTGGCGCAGTGGTTGAGAATCCGCCTGCCAACACAGGGGACATGGGTTCGAGTCCTGGTCTGGGAAGATCCCACACGCCGCGGAGCAACTAAGCCAGCGAGCCACAACTACTGAAGCCCGCGTGCCTAGAGCCCGTGCTCCGCAACGAGAAGCCACCGTGACGAGAAGCCTGCGCACCGCAACGAAGAGTAGCCCCCGCTCGCTGCCACTAGAGAAAACCCACGCACAGCAACAAAGACCCAACGCAGTTAAAATAAGATAAAAAATTTAAAAACCACAGAAACACCAGACACGGGATTTCCTGTGACGCAGCAGCCCCATTTGAGCATACAGCTCTGAGCCGTTTTTACCGGCAACACGCCGACAGCAAATGTGAGGGTTCCCACGCCAGCCAGCTCTCTGGCTCTCCGGCGCCCACTGGGGGCCTACAACTCAATTTTGACGCTAGCTACCTGGAGTCAGTGCAGACCCCACAGGTTAGGGGCTCGACCCCACAGGACTGTCCTCACACCAGACGCCACTACTTCTCCACCGACTATGAATCGGGCTCCCGTGATCCCTCCTCAGGCTATTTGCTAGAGCAGCTCACAGAGCTCAGGAAAACAGTTTACTTGCTATTTCCGGTTTATTATTAAGGACACACGATGCACTGAGCAGGGCTGGGGAGCACATCCTTCACACCCTCTGTGGCCCGCCTTCCCCCGGGCTGCACGTGCTCACCAAGCTGGAGCCTCTCCGACCGCACAGCTGGGGGGTTTGGTGAAGGCTGCGTCGCGCAGGCGTGGTTGATGAAATCGTTGCCCGTAGGTGATGGACTTCCTGGAGGTCGAGCGTGGGGCTGGAAGAGCCCCTGGTCTTGCTGGACACCAGTCCCCACCCTAGAGCTTCGTAGGGGTTCCTAACCACGCCCCCCCGGAACCACTGCTCCGCCTTCCGTCTCCGTGGGGTTCCTGTTCTGGACCTTGCACACACACGGAACCACACAACTTGTGGGCTTTTGTGTCCGGCTTCTTTCACTCGGTGTCCTCAGGGTTCATCCATTGTGCAGTGCGTGTCAGAATCCTCTTCCTCTCTGTGGCTAAAAGAGATCCACGCTGCGGTGCAGGCTCACAGCCCCCGGAGCTCTCCTGCCGAAACCGGGAACCGGCCCCCGCACGCGGAGGGCGACGAGAGACAGCAGAAGAGGAGGACCCTACAGGTCGGCAGGCGCCATGAGTGAGGGAACAGGGAACGTCCTCACGAGGCTTGTCCTGGGCCGCAAAACGAGTAGCTCTCCGCACCCAACGAATCCGAACAGTTCATTCAGGGGCCTTAGGGGCTTAGGCGGGCGCGTGTGCAGCTCAGGTGGCCCAGCCGCACAGGGCTCTCTCCAGGCTGCGTCCTGGAAACAGCTCCGCGGCCGGCACTGGCGGAGGCGTGAGGAGCCTCGATCGCCCTGGTCAGCGGCGGTCACGTCCTCTGTTGACGGATGGCTGGGATCTTGTGTTCATCCGTCGTGGACACTCGGCTGTCCCCAGTGTATGGCTGCTGCGGACCTCGGTCCCTCACAGCAGGTGCGCCAAAGTTACCAGGAGCAAAGGCTGTGTGGGCACGTGTGTGGTGTGCGCCTGTGCGTGTGCACGTGGTGTCTCTGTGTGTGGTGTGTGTGTGGCACGTGTGCGGAAGACCCAGGCAAGGCCACGTTTCAGCATCACCCCCACTCCTCTCCGCAGCAGCCTGGAAAACTGTGGCTTCCTCACCAGGGAAGGGGGGTTCTGACCCTCCTGTGATCCCGCCCTCTCCCACACCCAGGCTGGTCCTGCGGTGGCCGGAGCCCGTGTCCCCTCTCCCTCTGAGCTCCCACAGTTCTGCAGCCGTCCTCCGGCTGCCCTGGCTTGGCCCCACCACGCAGGGCTAAACCCCAGCAAACTCCTGGGGCCTCAAGGGCCCTCCCTCCCGGGGGCGGGGCTGCTCCCCGGCCCTCCCTCCCGGGGGCGGGGCTGCTCCCCTTGAAATGGCCCCCAGGTGGCGGTCACTGCGTCCACCCAGATGCAGCTCTGTCTTCCTGCCCATGCAACCGCCTTCAGGGACCTCAGAGACCTAGAAGGAACCAGAACTGCGCTAGCTCGCAGGTTCCTGGACTCAGTATCTCCAGCAATGTCGTGGGCACAGCTCGGGCTGGGCCCACACGTCCGCCCGGCCCAGGCCAGCTGGGTTAGAATCCCACTGCGGGGGGTGGGACGCGGTCTGTGGCCCTTGCCCACGTCTGCCCCTGTCTGGCACACAGCTGCCACACTTCCCGGTCTGCAGGGAGGGCTTGGCTGAGAGAGATGGGGGGCTGAGCCCATCTGGGGGGTTGGGTTTTCTGACGTCTCCGTGCCTCTAAGGATCCAGGTGCCGGCGAGTCCAGGGCTTGGCTGGACCGCCCGTGTCCTTGGCCTCAGGGCCCCCCATTTTGACTCTACAGGGTCTCTGCTTGTCGAAGGGCAGAAGGTGGGGTTCCAGGCAACACTGACCCATCCTGGGGACAGGCTGGTAACCGGGCTGCCCAGAGCGTGGGGAGGGATGTCCAGCCAGGCTCAGAGAGAGGATGCGGGTGGGATGAGCGAGGGGGTGTCCCAGGCAGCCGGCCAGCAGGACAGCTGTGGCAACACTCAGGCCGGCAGGGGTGGGTGGCGTGCTGTTCACGGTGACTGTTCAGGCTGTACTGATGCTGAACAGCTACTCCTTGACTTGGCCGAAGTCAAGTCACCGGGAAAGGCAGGGCCCCTGCGCTCGGAGGACAGGGCCGGGTAGGAGAGTGCAGCGGTGGGAATGTCCTGCAGGGCCCCTGCGCTGCTGTCACCGAGGGCCGGGCCCTCTCCCCCTGCCCGCAGGCGTGGGCAGCTCAGCGCAGAGTTTGCCCTTCAGACTCTTAAACGCGGCACCTCTGTCCTCCCACCATGACAAATACAGCAGCCGCAGGCCCGGCCTCACACTTGCAGCACCCCTCTCTGTCCAGCCCCGGCTGTGCCCCGCAGGACCTGAGCGCCTGTCCCCCGCCCCCCAGCCGTCCTTGGGGGTACAGGCCCCGGGTCCTCACGCACCGGATCATGGCATATGCCACTTCCAAGAGGTTGTTTTCATTTAGCGAGAACGTTGCTGTGGAAGGGCTCAGCAGGGACCTGTCTTCTGGCTTGTGGGCACTGCCCGCTAGGCCGGGGACAAACCACTCGCCCTGAAGCCTCAAGGGGCTGGGGGTCGGCAGAGTCCAGGACGGCCCAGGACCCCCCGTGGCACTAGGCAACGGCTCCCAGGCTGGGCCTGCCCAGGTCACACAGGCAGGAGCCCGAGGCCGCCCTGGGCCTGGTGGGGACGGTGATCCTGGCCCATGGCTGGCCTCTCTGGGCCTCGGTTTCCTCATCTGCGCAGAGGGACTGAGATATGTCCACCTCTCAGGGACGGGTGGGGATTACGGAGGGAATCCAGGGTCCTCTTCTGCTGGCTTCAGGGGTGCACGGGGGTGCCGAGAGCAGGGCTGGCCGGGCTGGATTCCCTGCACTGCACTTGGCCGGCCCCCTCCCCCTCCCTCCCAGCCCCTGACCTGGCTTTCCTGGAAGCTCTGCGAAACTGAGCTGGGGACTGTCCGTGGGGGTGAGGTCTGGCCCTTCAGGGCCCTCGGCAGGGAGAGTAGTACCCACGGGGCACACCACGGCCCCATCCCGGCAGGGACGGAGGGGAGAGAAGTGGCCGTCAGTGCTGCCGACGCAGGGACTCCCCTTTTATGGGCCTGCTTGGCAGGCGCCGCTCCCTGGGGGTGCATCTTCTGCACTTTCCTCCTCAGGACCCTGGCGGGAGGAGAGGTGGGTGCAGAGGGCTGGGGGGTGGGCTGGGCAGGGGCAGGGCCCACCTCAGCGGGGGGGGCATCTGGGTCCCAGCCTGGGGAGGTGGGGTGCCCGCTGGGTCCAGCAGCTCCCGTGGAGGGCCCCGAGCTTCCCATTCAGATTCCTGAGAGCCAGGCTCTGCACCGCTTTGGCCCCCATCCCGGGCGCCCCACGCTGGGGGTCAGAGGCCTGCTGTGTCTCCCCTGCAGCCTCACCCCAGCTGCACTCCACCGCCGGTGGAGGACAGAATGCTCCGTCCCAGGACGGGAGCATGACGTTTCCTTGCCCGATGGGGCAGGGCTGGGGCATTCTCGCGGCAGGAACACGGCGCAGAGCCTGGGCCTGCCAGCCTCCACGCTGCTGCACAGTCCCTGAGGCCAAGGTCGGGGTCCCTGCGGTCACAACCCAGAGGGAGGGCAGGGGGCAGGGCAGGCCAGCCTGGCGGGGTGGGGCACCCACACGCTGGTCCTGGGGACTGGGGGATAGTTGGGGAGGGCGTAGGCAGCCCCCAAAGAGCCCCTCCTCCCCACTGGCAGCGGAGTGCATGGGTCCTGGGCTCCATCGGATAGCGGGAAGGACCTGTACTTGACCCGTGGGCCCGTCCTGAGTCACCGCCTCCTGCCCTTGGCCTGGGGCAGCCTGTCCTAAACAGAAGCCCTAGCCAGGCCACTGGGAGAGCCCAAGGCCCAGGGCTTCAGGCCCTGTCTCTGTCCCAGGCCCCCTCTCCTCTGGGAAGGGCCTGGCCCTCGCTGGGGCCCTTCCTCCCCCGGGAGTGTCTCCCGTTGCCAGCTGGACGGCCGCCAAGGCCTCTCCAGGTCAGCTGCAGGCCCCGGGCGGGGAAGGGGCGGGGGTCTGGGCAGCCGAGCCCCCATGCCTTGACCTCCCCGGGCCTGGCCAGTTAGCACAACTCACCTGCTTCCAGACTCTGGCCACAGTGAGAGGAGTTGCAGACAACAAGCTGGTTTTCCTGAAACTTCCCAAAGGACCCGTCATGCTCCAACAGAAGCTGGGGCGGCAGCTCCCCCAAGACCTGGCCTGCACCTCCCACCCTGCAGGCCCCAACGACCCCGCTGACCCCACCCTGATCCTAACCCCCCGAGATCATGCCTAAAACCTGCCCCTCTGCACTCCTCCCGGGCTGGGGGCGCTCTGCCCCCCTCAGGTGCTGCCCTCCCACCGGGTGCTCTGGGGAGATCTTGAGGGGCAGCAGTCGGCCCCTCCACAAGTACGCCCACCCCTGCGACCACCTGGCCTTCCCTGGTCAGCACAGGCGCCTGCAGCAGCGGAGGCCAGGCGGGGTCCCCACCCCACCCCAGGCCTGAGTGGTGCCCTAGGCCCAGGGATCCCACCTCCCGGCCCTGTTCATCTCCCTGGTGTGGGGCCAGCAGAGCAGGGCAGTGCTGGGTGAGCGCAGGCAGCGTGGGATGACACCCCTGAAGGCCCCCCACGTGCTGGGGAGCTGGAGGTCCCCTCTGCAGTGAGGGAAGTCTGGCCCCGTCCCCACATTCAGGGGCCTGGCCCGCCTGTCCACTGGAGCTCCTGTGTGGACGGGTGCCCAGCAAGAAGGGCCAAGCAGGGGCTCCCCTGGTGGCGCAGTGGTTGGGAGTCCGCCTGCCGATGCAGGGGACACGGGTTCGTGCCCTGGTCCGGGAAGATCCCACGTGCTGCGGAGCGGCTAGGCCCGTGAGCCATGGCCGCTGAGCCTGCGCGTCCGGAGTCTGTGCTCCGCAACAGGAGAGGCCACAACAGTGAGAGGCTCGCGTACTGAAAACAAAAAAAAAAGAAGGGCCAGGCACAGGGAGTTCCCTGGTGGCCTAGTGGTTAGGATTCGGGACTTTCACTGCCGTGGCCCAGGTTCAATCCCTGGACTGGGAACTCCCGCAAGCCACGTGGCAAGAAAAAAAAAAGAGAGAGAGAGAGAAGGGCTAAGCACAGAGCACCTGGTGGTCCCATGAAAGGGCCAGCGATGCACCTGCTGTGGGACCACGGCGCCGGGGGCCTCGGACACGGCAGCCTCACGTCCGGGCGAGGCCAGTGTGCTCCAGGTCAGTGCTCCTTGGGCGTGAGCGGCCCCTCCACATTCCCCGACTAAGACTGCCAGTTAGAGGGTAGTTTCCATAGAGTTTTCAAGGTTTTTCTTTCTTCTAAGATATTAAAAACCACCTCTCATAATTAAAAGGCCCAAACAAATTATAATTAATAAATACCTTTACATAAAAACGATTCATCTGGGGCTTCTCTGGTGGCGCAGTGGTTAAGAATCCGCCTGACAATGCAGGCGACACGGGTTTGAGCCCTGGTCCGGGAAGATCCCACATGCCGCAGAGCAACTGAGCCCGTGTGCCACAACTACTGAGCCTGCGCTCTAGAGCCTGCGAGCCACAACTACTGAGCCCGTGAGCCACAACTACTGAAGCCCGTGTGCCTAGAGCCTGTGCTCTGCAACAAGAGAAGCCACCGCAATGAGAAGCCCACACATAACAAGGAAGAGTAGTCCCCACTCGCCACAACTAGAGAAAGCCCGCGCGCAGCAACAAAGACCCAACGCGGCCAAAAATAAAAACAAATAAATAGATACATTTAAAACAAAAACGATTCATCTAGAGCTACAATTGTTTCACCTAGTTTTTGAAAATTTAATTAGAGCTTGTTAAACATTTTAGCAAAAGCAAAATGCGCCGCGACGGTAGCCCTCCGTTCCCCACCGCCCCCTCCCATGGAAGGAGCCAGCCGCGGGTGGGGCTGGCCTGCTCTGTGGCCTCGGCCCTTTGATCCCTTGAGAGGTCCTGGCGTGGTCCCTGGGATGCTCAGCTCTGCTGGAAGGACCCTTTCTTCCCCAGAAGCTCTGAGAGGGGCCTCTAAGCAGCCTGGCCTGCCCATACCCCAGAGCAGAGGCCCTCCTTTCTGTCTGGGGGACACGGGGCCAGGCCAGCTCTGCGCTGCAGCCCATGTGACACAGGTGCCTGTGTGGCCTCCAGCTCTGCTCTGCGGGGTCTTTGTTTTCCCCTCTTCCCACCAGCCCCGTCTGCCCTTCTGGGAGGCTGGCGCCGAGGGACACCGGGTGGGCACGGCCCAGACTGGGGTGTCGGGCACAGTCCCTGCCCGCTGTGGACACACCAAGCCCTCCAGGGCTGCGGGCTCCTGCCAGCAACCGCCACCCCAGGCCTCCTAGTCGGACTGGGCCAGTGGGTGCGAAGGGCAGGTGGGCATGCAGAGGTGGGGCCTGGGGCCTCTGACCCTGCTCTCCGGGGACCAGGCAGCAGTCCCTCCCGTTCTGTGGCCTACAGCTCACCCACGGAGGCCTGGTCCTCCCCGCAGCCCAGGGAAAGAGGCTGCTGGGGGGCATGAAGTGGGGCTGGGGTGGGGGTCCAGCTCCCAGGTGCCCCCTCAGCCTCACCATCGTCAGGGGATGGTGAGCACTGGACCTCAAGCTCCCAGGGGCAGGAACCTGCCACCTGTGTGCCCAGAGGCTGGCATGCAGTGGGCGTTTCAGGAATGCTCATCAGACAGACCCTAAGGCTCCCCAAACAGGGCGACTTGGGCCCTTCTCCCAGGCCCGGCTTTGGCCAAGCCAATGACCTGCTCCCTGACCCTCCAGCCCCGGTCCGGCCCAAGCCAGGGGCTGCCATTTGCCCAGAAGCTCTCCCCAGGTTCTCTTGAGGGAGGCTGCCCCTTCTCCTGATTAGGGGGGGCACAGTGGGAGGGGGACAGGCAAGCACACAGTGGTCTGGCCGGGCAGTGTGTGTACCAGGCACAGGCGTCCACAACGTCCTGGAGACAGCGCTGACTGGCCGTGGCTGTCGCCCAGCAGGGGCGGGGGCGGGGTGAGGGAGGGAGCGGGGCGGGAGTCCTGGGACCCAACAGGGCACTGGGTGGGTGGGCGTGCGTGGGGGGCAGCACCCTCCCACGTCCCCAGCGCTGTGGGAATTGGTTGATGTTGTCAGCTGTTTAACAGGACGGGTCTGGACAGGCGAGCTCTCGTGGGCAGGGGCCGGAGCTGAGCCCACGTGGACCCTGGCACCGCAGGCGAGAGCACTTCCCTCCCTACGGCCCCCGGCAGCTGTCCCTGCCGGTGGGAGCCCTGGGCAGACCCTGGCTGGAGGGACGGAAGGACAGCTGGATCCCAGAGTGATTTGCTCTGTACTCGCGCCCTTTGGTCTCTGTTTCTCGGGCATCGGATGGTTGCAACCACGGATTTTCTCTTTGGCGTTTCTTCCACTGTCGGGGACCCTTGGTGAGGGATGGGCGAGTTGGCCAGGACATTGGTGTGTGGAAGGGACGCGCAGTCTACGGGGGGGTTGGGGGTGTGTGTGGACCTGTCCCAGCACTCGACCCCCTCCCAACAGTCCACAGTCACTCGGAGGGGCCCCTCTAGGCAGCGGTTGGGGGGGCGAGGACATCGTTTCCAGTCCCCGCCTGCCTCTCCCTGGGCCTCGGAGCTCCCACGTCCCAGAAAGGTCTTCTCTACAGGCCAGAGGTCATCTTGTGGGCCCTCATGGCTGGTGACCTCGGGCTGACACTGGGTGTGGGCTCCTGGGGGCAACCCAGTCTGTCCAGGGGTCCCTCCCTCTGCACCTAGAGCCCCCGTGCTCACCCCAGTACTGGCAGGCCTGCTTCCCCCAGGTTGGGGTACAGATCCCCCCACCTCTCTTTGTGCTTCCTGGCTGCTCACCCACATGATCTCCCCTTAGGGGCACCTGATGCCCGATGCCAGGAGTGGACTCAGCGCCGGGGGGGTCGGTCCCAATCACGGGCCAGTCTTGTGCCCTGTCTGGCCCTGCCAGCCCCCGTGGTGGCTGTGAGGGGCAGCTCAGCCTCACATCCTCCTAAGACAGATGCCAGCTCACCCCAGGCCCAGGCACGACCCAGGAAATGGAACGGAGCCTCCCTGCCCGCCCCCTTGAAACTGCCTACCCTCCCCAAGGGCCTTTCCTGCCTTGGCCACAGGGCCCCCTGGGACTCTGGGCCCCTGCCTCCCAGGAGGGCGCTCAGTGGTCAGCAGGTGACAAAAAGGACCTGAGGGGCGGGTTCCGCATCCCTCTAGAAAAGACCGACATGTCTGGACAAGGCGAGTTCAGGTCCTGGGCCCACCCGGGGCAGCCCAGCGAGGCCAGCAGGGCAGGCGTGCACAGAGTCAGGGAGCAGGAAAGACAAGGACAACCACAGCGCGATGGCCAGAGGAGGGGACACTGGGGACAGGGAGTCTGGGCACTCTAGGCCTTGAGGAGGAGCCACTCCCCACCCCTACCTCCCTGGGGAGGGCTCTTCACCAGGAGACAAGCCGATGCCCTCCTGGCCCACCCGGGAAGCGGCCCCACGTGTCCGTGAGATGACAGGTGGGCAGAGACCCCGGCCGGGTCCAGCGTGGTAAGGAAGAATCCAGGAGCTGAGACTGACAGCGTTTAATGAAGGCAGCGCCCCGAGCTCCTGGCGGCGAGGCGCAGCTTCGGGGGCGGACGGGAGAGAGCCCCCCACTCAGCAAGGGGGCGGCGAGAGCCGCACCTCCAGGGCCCTGGCTGCTTGCTTGGTGCAGGGCTGCCGCCGGCCTCACCTCCTCACCTCTGCAGCACAGACGAGACCCATCCAGGAGGGAGCCGCGCGCTGCCAGCCCCCTGCCACACTGCCCCACCGGCGCTGCCCACTCACCATCCAGGACGTGAAACTGGTCCGCGGCCTCGCAGAAACCTGGGGGCCGGGGCTGGGGTCAGGGGTGGCGGGGCCGGCGCGCGGGGGAGAGCGAGGTGGACCGCGGGAGACGCAGGGACACTCACCATACTTGGGGAAGAACAGGATGTGGTCCTCGGTCAGGTTGGCACCCTGGACCCGCTGCTCAAACACACTCAGGAATGATTCGCTCACAGGGAGCGAGCGGGCTGTGTGCGGGACACACGGGGCTCCTGGGCGCCCGCTGGGTGGGTGCGGGCTGGGCGGGCAGGGCGCTCTGGGAGCTGGGCTGTGTGCCGGGGGCTGTGATCTGACCCCTGCCCCCCACCCCCGGTCTCCTCTCTGTCCCCACATCTGGGCCTAACGGCAAGGGCAGGGGAAAGGGAGGGGAGCGTCCATGTGCCCATCCGGGCCCACCCAGACGGCCCTGCGGGCGTGCAGACCCGGTCCCGCGGGGACGTACCGTACAGCTTCACCGACAGCTGCCGCGCCCGCTCCAGGTACAGGATGGCGAAGCCCTGGTAGTCCGTCTCCCCAACGACCACGTCCACCGGCCCTCGGGCGCCTCGGGCTGGGCAGAGCCAGGTCAGGGTCAGCCTCACCCCCAGCCCTGAACCCTTGTCCCCATGGCCCGCACCTCACCTTGGAGCAGAAAGCGACCTGGGAGCCCCGTGTCACCGTAGAGCTGCCGCACCTGCCAGCAGATCCCATCCCTGGGGGGTGGGGGTGGGAGGAGGCACAGCAGGCTTGGGGACCCCAAACTGGGTGGGGCCTGCCGGGACCCTGGTCGCAGGGCCGCAGGCCACAGCAGGGGTAGAGTTGGGGGCCGGGGTGGGAGTCGGGAGGCTGGGTGGGGGCGGGGCTCCGTGCCGGAACTCACAGCTTCCGCAAGGTGCTGACAGCCATGGCGGCACCCTGAGGAGTCACGTGCAGTGTGCTGGCCTCAGCCCGGTGGCCCTGCTCCTGCAGGAAGCGGCACGCAGAAGCCACGGCCACAAGGAACCAGGTCCCTGAAAACTGGAACAGGCCCCGTGAGGGCACGCGGGGACGGGGGCTGCAAAGCTGGGCACGCGCCGCTCCGGCTCCCCCAAGCCTACCCGCTGCGCGTCGAAGTTGGCCTTGGGCTGGATGGCGCTGATGGGGGACGGGGGCCGAGGGGGTCTCTGAACCCTCTGACCCAAGGAGCCGACGGCCAGGAGCAGAGTCAGGAGGGATGCCGTCCTGGGGGGCAGCATGGCGATAGCAGCGACGGTGACAGGCCTGGGGGAGGCGCAGGGCAGGATGGTCAAGTCCCGGGTCGGAGTCCACTGCCTGCTGCCCAGCCGTCCGGCCCGGGAAGTCTGTGTGCATCCCCCACCCCCCCGGCCCTGGGCCAAGCAAACGGACCGCCCCCACCCCGGCCCTGCCCCTGCCCCGGCCTCCTCACGAACTCAGCCTCACCCTGCACATCTGACCTCGGCCCTGCACTTCCCGGCAGGGCCCTGTCGCCCTGTCCTGTGTACAAAGTCCGAGTTGACCTCTGGCTTCTTGCCCACAAGCCACCACGTGACTTCCAGTGTGGCTGGTGCTCATCCCTTTGCACATTCATCTCCCTTAAACCGCCAACAGCTCCTTGAAGTACGGACTAGTCTCATCCCCACAGCGAAGAACACTTGTGCCCGACACTGGGAAGCGCCGGAGCCTAGTCTCGAACCGGAGATCTCGAGCCTCGCCCGCAGCCTCGCTCACGACCCACGGCGCTCGGCCGCCGCCCCTCCAGGCCGCCAGGGGCGCTGTTTCTGGAGAGACCGAGCAAACACAGGCGCACAAAGAAGCACCGCCCGGGCCGCGGGGCCTGAAGCGCAGGCGCAGTAACAGCCAACGCGGGCTGCTGGGCTCGGCCCTCGACGGCCATCGATGCGTCGGGGCTCGTGACGTTGGCCTGGCGGGCTCGGTCATAGAGACGCGACGGCCGGAGCGGCGACGGAGGGCGGAAGCGGGTCTGCGGGCAGAGGCCTGGCGCCGGGGCGGGGGCAGCGCAGCCGGGCGGAGGCGGCCGCGGTGAGTGGGGCCGGCCCGGGGAGCGTCGACACCAGCCATGTCCGAACCCCGGCCCGGACCCCAGCGCCCTGGCCCCGGGGAGCGTCGTCACCCCGCCCCGATACCGGGCCCGGCCCCCCGGCCCCCGTCCCCAGCTCACCCGGCGGTGGCCGCACTGGCCCGTCGCCCACCTGGCAGGGCTCTCCTAGGCCAGAGGGCAGAGGCCAGGGCCGGCTGGCGTCCCTGGCGGCGTCTGGGGCAGGCGGGCTGGCCCTCGTCCCGCCGCCCCAGGTCTCTCCCGAGAAGGATCTCTGTCCCATGTTGACAGCTCCGAAGCCTGGGGCAGCAAGGTCAGAGAGGCAGGGTGCACAGGGGCCACCGACCCTTCGTTTCTCGGCCTCAGAGCGGTCACCAGCCCTGCCAGCCAGATGACTCCCTGGGATCCTGTGGGGGGCGGTCAGAGGGACCCGCCCAGGGCCCCACTCAGGACAGAAGGCCTGTCCCGAGGAGGGGGCTTTTGGGGTGAGGGTCGGTCTGGGGTCTCAGGGCCCGCCGCCAGCTCCGCCTCAGGCTGGCCCAGGCCCGGAAGCTGCCTGTTCCGGGGATGACTTGGCCTTTCCGGGGACCCTCAGGAGTGCGGGGTCCAAGCAGCGTGGCCGTCCGGGAGGCTTGATGAAGCTCTTGGATCCTTGGCCGCGGGGGTTCTCCGCACAGGCTTAGCCCCTGGAATTCCCAGCGGGGCAGTCGGCAGGCTGCCTCAGCTCAGCCGCAGGCCCCTGCGCCTCTCCTTGGGCCTGGGGGCTGGTGTCCTCCCTGGTCCAGCTGGCGGCTAAGGGGACCGTGCATGGGTTTCAGGGCCGCCTGGGCAGAATGTCACGATGGACGAGGGGGGCCTACCCCTGCTCCCCGACAGCCTCGTTTACCAGATCTTCCTGAACTTGGGCCCGGCCGACGTGCTGGCCGCGGGGCTGGTGTGCCACCAGTGGCAGGCCGTGTCCCGGGATGAGTTCCTGTGGAGGGAGCAGTTCTACCGCTACTACCAGGTGGCCCGCAACGTGCCCCGACACCCAGGTCAGCACCTGCATTCCGCCCTGAAGCCCACTGGTGCTCGTGCTGCTCGAGGACAGCCAGGCTGTGCCTCAAAACACAGGGCCTGGGAGGGAGGCCGAAGGGTGGGCAGGGCTGGCCCCTGGCTGTCAGGGGCCTGGCTCTGAGGCGTGGGGCCCCAGTGTGACACGCCCGTACACACACAGCGGCCACATCCTGGTACGAGGAGTTTCGGCGGCTCTATGACACAGTGCCCTGCGTGGAGGTGCAGACTCTCGAGGAGCACACCGACCAGGTCCTGCACCTTAGCTTCTCCCACTCAGGCTACCAGTTTGCTTCCTGCTCCAAGGACTGCACCGTGAAGGTGAGGGCGGCTAACCCTGTAGGGAGAGAGGGCCAGGCCACGAGTGACAGCTGGCCCGTTTGCTGCATCCGCACGGGGAGGCCCGGGACCTGGACCACTGGCCTGGATCACCCGGGCTGGGAGGCTGGGGCTGGGCGGCCCTAACTGCCTACAGAGAAAAGAGGGTCCTGCTCGCAGCTGTTCCAGAGCCGGCCCCAAGCTCCACGTACTCACATCCCTCCGGCGGTCTGACAGCCAAAGACAAGGGGCCCGCACCAGATGGCAGTTTCCAAACACTGGCTCAGCGAGCCGACCAGGAGAGGGGCCCCGTGCAGGGCGGGATCACGAGGTGCGCCTGCTCGGCTCCCCATGCAGATCTGGAACAATGACCTGACCATCTCGCTGCTGCACAGCGCAGACATGCGGCCCTACAACTGGAGCTACACCCAGTTCTCCCAGTTCAACCAGGACGATTCTCTGCTGCTGGCGTCCGGGGTGTTCCTGGGGCCCCACAACTCCTCCTCGGGCGAGATCGCCGTCATCAGTCTAGGTGAGAGTGGGCCGAGGGTGGGCGGCCCTCACACCGGGGCTGTCCCACCCAGGCCCCTGCTCCATCTCCATCTCTGCCCCGACAACCCCGCCCCTAATGCCCAGCTCCGCCCCCCGCCTGGACAGCCCCCCCCCCCCCCCCCCCCCCCCCCCCGGCCTCGCCCCATCCTGCTGCTCCCCGCAGACACCTTCGCCTTGCTGTCCCGCGTGCGCAACAAGCCCTACGATGTGTTCGGTTGCTGGCTCACGGACACCAGCCTGATCTCGGGAAACCTGCACCGCATTGGGGACATCACGTCGTGCTCTGTGCTCTGGCTTAACAACGCCTTCCAGGTGCGCGCGGGGGGGCCCTGCGGCCAGCGGCGGCCCCCAGCAGCCCGTGCCCACCCCTGCGCTCCTGCCCCCAGGACGTGGAGTCGGAGAACGTGAACGTGGTGAAGCGGCTTTTCAAGATCCAGAACCTGAACGCTAGCACCATCCGCACCGTCATGGTGGCCGACTGCAGCCGCTTCGACAGCCCGGAGCTCCTGCTGGACGCCGGCGCCCCTGGCGCAGGCCCCGGCTGTGTCTTTGACCTGAGCAGCGACAGCGAGGACCAGGCAGTCGACCCGGGCCCGGCCCGCGCCAAGGGCTTGCGGCGCGTCCTGGAGGGCCGGGCCCAGCCCCAGCCGTCAGAGTGCGCGCTGGAGACCAAGGCGGCCGAGCTGCTGGCCCAGGGCCACACCAAGCCCCCCGAGCGCAGCACGGCCGCCGCCGGCAACAAACTCCTCATCTTCACCACGGGCTGCTTCACCTACTCGCCGCACCAGATCGGTGAGGGGCCCGGGCGAGGCTTCCCGGGGTGGGGCGGGGCCCGTCTGTGCGCAGAGTCCCTTCCTCCCTTTGCTCTGGGGGTGAGCGCTCGTGCAGCCCCCCGGGGCGCACCTTCGGATCCAGGGGCACAGGGCCGGTGGCGCCGCGGGCGTCTGGGCGCTCCCAGGCACTGAGGCGCTGCCCACTCGGCCTCCACAGGCATCAAGCAGATCTTGCCGCACCAGATGACCACGGCGGGGCCCGTGCTGGGCGAGGGCCGGGGCTCCGACGCCTTCTTTGACGCGCTCGACCACGTCATCGACGTGCACGGACACATCATCGGCATGGGCCTGTCCCCCGACAACAGGTGGGCGTCTGTTGGCAGCCTGGGTGGGGGCGTCCGCGGGCCCTTACTGAGCAGCGCGCCTGTGCAGGTACCTGTACGTAAACAGCCGCGCCTGGCCCCGCGGCTCGGTGGTGGCCGACCCCATGCAGCCGCCGCCGATCGCGGAGGAGATCGACCTGCTGGTGTTCGACCTCAAGACCATGCGGGAGGTGAAGCGGGCCCTGCGCGCCCACCGTGCCTACACGCCCAACGACGAGTGCTTCTTCATCTTCCTGGACGTCAGCAGGGACTTCGTGGCCAGGTCCGGGGGCGGAGCCGGGTGGGGAGGGGCCCCAGTGGGCGGTCGGGGGCTCATCCCAGGCGCTCTCGCAGTGGGGCAGAGGATCGGCACGGCTACATCTGGGACCGCCACTACAACATCTGCCTGGCCAAGCTGCGTCACCAGGACGTGGTCAACTCGGTGGTCTTCAGCCCCCAGGAGCAGGAGCTCCTGCTGACGGCCAGCGACGACGCCACCATCAAAGCCTGGCGCTCGCCACGCACGGTGCGTGTCCACCAGGCCCCGCGCCCGCGCCCACGCCCCTTCTTCTCCTGGTTCGCCAGCCAGAGGCGCTGAGGGGCGCTGGGACCCACCGAGGAGGCCACGGAGGCCCATGGCCCTTTTTCGGGGGTTGAGCTGCTGCCCAGAGCGCGTGGGGGCAGAGAAGCTTGCTGCAGAAATGCCTTAGGAGGGGGGCCCCGCGAGGCCACGGCGGGGGACGGCCTGGCCCCCACCACGCTCGTGCACGCACACCGCCTCCCACAGCTGTGACGCTCAGCCTTGGGCAGCCGGGGCCGTCTCTGGCTGGCTTGGGCTGCACAGGACACTGGGCCCCCGCTCTTCACCCACCCCCTTCCCCTGGGCCTGGGCTCTGGGACAGTCTGCACAACACGTTCCCCTTGGCCAGCCCTGTGGGGCCCTGGCGGTGTTTGCTGGGCCCAGCCTTGCCCAGGGAGCCCAGGCTCCCTCTTCTGGGAACTTCCCAGCGTCAGGGTCGAGATGCGGGTCAGGCTGCCATGGGCCAGGCTGCCATGGGCCCAGGGGACCTGCATGTCACTGGTTCAGGATCTGAATAAAAGGTTGGCAACAGCACAGCGCCGACCAGTCTGTGCGGGGAGGGCGTGGCATCCAGTGTGTGCAGGGAGGGCGTGGCATCTATACGGGCCCTCGTCGTGCCTGCTGGACAGGGCGGGTGCCCTAGGCCACACGCTAGGAGCTGCCCTGAACTGGGCAGCGGGACGCGAGTCTGCGTCCCCAGCCGCTGCCCCCGCTGCCTCTGTGGACAAATCCCCGAGTGCAGACTCTGGAGCACGTCCGGCACGTGTGTGCTCCCCGCCAGCAGGGGGCGCAGAGGGACACGACCTGGCAAGTGCCGGGCACCGGGGACAGCAGGCGGGGCGGGGGGGCGGGGGGGGGGGGGGGGGGGGGCCGGTTTCAGGGCTTGGAGTTCTCAGGGGGTGCCCTGGCTGGGGCAGGGGCAGGGGCAGACCTCTGGGGCCTGGCACGTGACAATGTGGACACAGCGGAGGTGGCAGCAGAGGGGCGGGGGTGGCCCCAGCTGTACCCTCAGGCCTGGCCCAGGCCCATCCTGGGGCCTCACCTGGCCTGCTTGCTCAGCTCGGGACACCCCGGGGTGGAGGTGCAGCCCGGCTGCACGTGGAGCGATGGTGCTGAACTGCCATCGGCTCCACACTTGGCACGCGCCAACGTGACGGTCGAGAAGACACGTGGATGGGCCTTGGGGGACAGCGTGTTTCTCCAGGCCAGAGGCAGCGGTGAGCAGAGGCTGTCCCGGTCGCCTGCGGGGTCGGAGCCAAGCTGGCCGCAGGCAGACGGGCTGGGCAGGGCTGGGTGCAGACACGAGGTCGGGGAAGCTGACCCAGGAGGAGTTCGGACTGGAGGGCAAGGTGCCCAGAGGAGCCAGCCAGTGGCACAGCTGCGCCCCGAGGACAGAGCCCCAGCCCCACGGCTGCAGCGGGGAAGCCTGGGCCCCTGGGTCTGTCTCCGAACAACTGGACGGGTGAGAACAGGGAAGGGAGCTCAACAGCAGCGGAGCCCGAGCGCTCTGCCTGGGACCCGCCTGGAGCTGCAGCCCGGAGCCCAAGCTCGGCCTCAGACAGGAGCCAGGAATCCCCACGGGTAGCTGCGAGGTGACGCGGTTTCTGGAAAAGACTGGAGATATGTTTAATTTAAAGCCATCAAGGAAACCTACAAAATCTATAAAACAAAAGCAGCTGAATCGGAATCAAAAACATGCAGAAATCGAAAAATTAGAAGGGAGCCAACAGAGGAGAGGGTGATTGGAACTAAATGCTTAACACACGTAAAGAAGGCTGGACCAGGCCCACCTGGTGTGAGGACTGGGAAGCGGGTGACAAAAAGCAGAGAAACAGAAACGTGCCAGAGGAGCGGGGAGGCCCGGGAGGCGGGGGTGGGGTGGGGGGGAGAGCAGGTGGAGGCGGGGTTGGAAGAGGACACCCATCCCCAGAGCACGTGCGAGCTGAGGTCTGATTGAGGGCAGCAAGCAGGCTCGAGCCTCCAAGCTCCATGGGAGGCGGGTGCAGGTGGGGAGGCGGGTGCAGGTGGGAGCTGGCTCGAGGCCCTGCCCCTCCGGAGGTGTGGCCAGAAACCTGAGCAGAGGCTCGGGGCAGCCGAGGGCTCCGACAAGGGTGCCATGGCAGGCGGGGCAGGGGCAGCGGCAGCACTGGGGCCCCCAGCACTGGCACCTCTCGCCGGTGCCCACCCTCAGTTCCTGGGCCTGCACGGCACAGCCGCCAGCCTGCCATGGGGTCGGGAAAGGGGACTCGTGAAGCTGAGTGAGTGCAGAGAGGCCGGGTGATCCCCGGGGGCTGTGTGGCCCCAGGCACAGCCGGACTAAGGAGGGGCACGACAGAGCAGGGTTAACGGGAGTGCCAGCTTGCAAGCTGGAGGCCAGACGGGGTGCCAACAACCAGACCAGAGGGAGCAGCTTGAGAAACAGCCCGTGAAGTGGCTGTGGCGCCCAGGACCACCCGTGCGCTGCCCGTGCGCTCCTCGGGCTCAGGCCAAGGCTCGGTGGGCTTGCAGAGCAGCACGCAGGAGCGGCCGGAAGAGCGTGGCTTTCGGGGCTGGGCTGGCGTGGGGTCCAGCCCGCGGGTGGCAGTGGGAACGTGAGCCTGGGCCTAACCAGACCCACGCCTGTAAGGTCAACGTCCAGAATCTAATCTACAGTTACCCAGTACACGAAGAGCTGGTTCGTTCAACTCAAGGGAAGCCAAGGACGCTCAAGTTACCTGACACAGACAGAGTGGCCATTATAAACTGCCTGAGTGAGCAAACACATTCTGCAGTGGATGTTAAGATATAAACAAAAAAGGGAAATAACCAAAAATTAAAACTCTAGACAAACTCCATAGCAGGATGGAGAAGTCAGAGGAAAGAGTCGGTGAACTTGACTGAAGACAGGACAACAGAGATGGTCCAACCTGAACAGGCGCTCAAAGGTCTAAGCGCGGAAGGAGAGGAGGAAGCGATTTGAAGAAATGATGGCTGAAAACATCCCCAAATTTGGATATAAACCTACAGATTCAAGAGGTTGAGCAAAAGGACAAACTCAAGGACATCCACACCTGGACACATCTAAATCGGCACTGAAAACCGAAGACAAAAGAAACCTGGAAGCAGTGAGAAGAGGCACCTCGGCCCCCGGGGACAGCCTGTGGCGACTACAGATTCCTCATTAGAAACCACGGAAGCCACAGGAAGTAGCACTTTTTTTTTTGGGGGGGGGGGTGCGCTGAGGGATCTTAGTTCCCTGACCAAGGATTGAACCTGGGCCCCGGCAGTGAAAGCCTGGTGTCCTACCCACTAGGCCACCAGGGAACTCCCAGAAGTAGCACATGTTTTAAGTGTCGGGGAAAAGGAAAGACTCAGCTCGGAGTTCTATATCCAGTGAAAATGATCTGCTCTAACAGAAATGCCGATGGGAGCTCTTCCGACAGGAAGGAGATGGTGTCAGGAAACCTGGATGGTCAGCAGGGAGGGGACAGCAACAGAAACGGTGAACACTCTCCTCTTGAGTTCTCCAAACACATTCGGCTGCTGAAAGGAAGTTTGTTATGGTGTCGTCTGGTGACATGTCCAGCACACAGAGGTAATGGGGGAACCACAAAGGGGCCTCCAGGGTGGTAAGGTTTCTATATCCCAGTTAAAGAGCAAACTACTGATTCCAAGTAGACTGGAACAACCACTAAAACCATAAAGAGAGAGAGTCAGTATCACAACAGATGAACTAAAATTGAATACTGGGACTTCCCTGACAGTCCAGTGGTTAGGACTCCGCACTCCCAACGCAGGGGGCACGGGTTCAATCCCTGGTTGGGGAACTAAGATCCTGCATGCTGCATGGTCAAACAAAACAAAACAAAACAAGCAAACAAAAAACCCAGAGAGAACCAACAGAAAACAAACACAAAATGGTCAACTTATATCTAGCATATCAATAATTACATTATTGTCAACGTGAAACTTAAAAAACCCTACAACCCAACTATGCCATCTCTAAGAAACTCAAATATAGTATAGGTTAGTTAAAAGTAAAAGGATGGAAAATGTATACCACAAAAATACCAATGAAAAGAAACAGGACGTTAATATCAGACAAAGTAAAGCACATTTCAGAAAAAGTCTGTTACCAAGAAAAAAGAGGGACATTACACACCGATACAAGAGTAAATTCACCAAGAAGATACAACAATCCTACATGTGTGTGCGCCTAACAACAGAGCCTCAGAACACACAAAGCAAGAAGTGACAGAATGAGAGGAGAAATAGATGCATCTGAAGTTACAGTTGGAGACTAGGTGCTCCTCTCTCAGTGAAGGTCAAACTAGTCACAGAGGCAGCAAAGTGCAGGCGAACTGAGCCCTCCCCTGTGTTAGCTTCCTGGGTGGCTGGAACAAAGTACCACAAACTGGGAAGTTTAAAACAACAGAAATGTATTGTCTCAAAGTTCTGGAGGCCGAAAGTCCAAGGTCAAGGTGCTGGCAGGGCCACTCTCTCTGGGGGAAGCCCTTCCTGGCCTCTTCCTAGGTTCTGGCGTTTGCCAGACATCAGGCGCTCCTGACCTGTAGACGCATCACTGCAGCCTTCTGGCTTCACGTGGCATCCGCCTCCGTGGGCCTGTTCACGTGCTCGTCCCTCTGTGCACGTCTGTGTCCACGTTTCCCCTTTTCAGAAGGACACCAGTCATATTGGATTGAGCCCACCCTAATAACCTCATTTTAACTTATCTCTGTGAAGACCGTATTTCCAAATAAGGTCCCAGTCTGAGTTACTGAGGGTTAGCACTTCGTATCTTTTGGGGAGTCACAATTCAATACATGTCAACTATGAGCCAACTGAATCTAATTGATACGTGTGGAACACTCCCCTCACCGACAGCAGAAGACACGTTCTTTTCTCTTTTTATTTAATTTATTTATTTTTGGCTGCGTTGGGTCTTCGTTGCTGCGCGTGGGCTTTCTCTAGTTGCAGCGAGCGGGGGCTACTCTTCGTTGCGGTGCGCAGGCTTCTCATTGCGGTGGCTTCTCTTGTTGCGGAGCATGGGCTCCAGGCGCGTGGGCTTCAGTAGTTGTGGCACGCGGGTTCAGTAGTTGTGGCTCATGGGCTTAGTTGCTCCTCAGCATGTGGGATATTCCCGGACCAGGGCTCGAACCCGTGTCCCCTGCACCGGCAGGCGGATTCTTAACCACCGCGCCTCCAGGGAAGCCCTGACATGTTCTTTTCAAGTGCACATGAAACAGCCACCAACGTGGACCACAGCCTGCACCACAGAACGAGCCTCAGACACAGGAAGATGAGGGGGCACAAGTCAGCTGTGAGCAGACAGCACACATGATGCTGTCCCTCTACTTGAAGGTTTGTTTTTTTTTTGCCGCACTGCATCCATGCGGGATCTTAGTTCCCCAACCAGGGATCGAACTCGTCATGCCCCCTTCAGTGGAAGCGCAGAGTCTTAACCATTGGACCACCAGGGAAGTCCCTACTCGATGTTTCTAAATGATTATTTTGTGCGTTGAAAAAATAAGATGGAACTAAAATTCTAGATAACA